CCATTTCTGAATGATCGCTTGAACAGTGCTCCGTGGGATGTTCAAGGCTTGGGAAATCTTTTTGTAGCCTAAGCCTGCTTTAAATTTCTCAATAACTTTATCCCTGACCTGTCTGGTGTGTTCTTTGGACTTCATGGTGTTGTTGCTCCCAATATTCTCTTAGACAACCTCTGAGGCCGTCACAGAGCAGCTGTATTTGTACTGACATTAGATTACACACAGGTGCACTCTATTTAGTCATTAGCACTCATCAGGCAATGTCTATGGGCAACTGACTGCACTCAGACCAAAGGGGGCTGAATAATTACGCACACCCCACTTTGCAGTTATTTATTTGTAAAAAATGTTTGGAATCATGTATGATTTTCGTTCCACTTCTCACGTGTACACCACTTTGTGTTGGTCTTTCACGTGGAATTCCAATAAAATTGATTCATGTTTGTGGCTGTAATGTGACAAAATGTGGGAAAGTTCAAGGGGGCCGAATACTTTTGCAAGCCACTGTATATGTATTAATCTAATTACTTAATTACTACACATTCTATTCTGTCTAGACATATGTGCCGAACAAGACTGCTTGTCGAGTTAACTCTGATTACACACATAGGGGAAACTGAAATTAAGACAGAGAAGACTAGAGGTGAGACATGATCATTACTGAATATTAAAAATAATAAATGACAGATTTAGTGATATTTTCATAAACTATTTATTTACCACATCAATGGCAGGGCAAATATTTTTTCTAACATGGCAACCTTTAAAAAGTGAAAGGAGACAGAAAGACAGGTGAGAAAGAATAAAACTTAATTGACTTTTTGATGGCATTTTACACACAGTACTGGTACAGTATCTAGAAAATGTGGGAAAATACTGGCATCATATACAGTACTTAGCTACTTCTGAAGAAATTATGATGGGACCCTGAAAAAAAATTACTATGTACAATAATGGATTTCTATACATTTTACATCAGATGAAAACTTTGGTTGTAAGATTCAGATAATTATTTATTAAAAGCTAGACATTTTAAATGAGAATAAGAAAGAAAAGTATTTCTTTGTGCCCCCCTTTCCCTGTTAATGCCCTACCTGGCCCCCTGGCAAAACTTTGCTAGACCCGCCCCTGCACAGTTACCAGCTGTCAGCTACAAAGGATCCTGGTGTTATTTGTCTCTCAGAAACAGTTCATAACTTCCCTTCAACTCATTCATGTCACCTAAAAGGTAAACCTGTTTCTCCATCACCTGTTCAGCTCTGATGATTCAGTAAGGACATCTCCTGGTTTCATCTTCATGTTTCCCTCTCACCACATATCCAAACCGATATCATGACCAGCAGCTTTACAGCTGTGGCTCCAGCAAACATCAGCTGATACTAGAAATTAATATTAAATAAATTCTAACAACAGCTGATCAAGCTTAAACGTGCTGCTGTTGTTTAGCGCGACATCCGCTGGTTTCCTCTTTCTGGCACAAAGTGGGCGACAAAAAAGCAAGAGAGACGGGACTTCCGTCAGAAAAGCCGATCAGCTGATCACTGATCAGTTTCATGATTGAAGAAGCAACAGGAGAGGGAGGTGGAGAGAATGAGAGAAGAAGAGGCAGCTGTGTAGCGTAAAGACCCAGAATAGCTCCAGCATTGTCTTTTTTTTTTATTCTAGCTGAAGTATCGGACAAATCGCGTTCCTTTTCACCTCAATACGAAACGCGTAATATTTTCTCTGAATACGAGACGATTCCGTTCTCTAATAACTAACTTTATGAATAAAATAAAACACCCGCCCAGAAACTCCGTCATTCTAGCTAGTACGCAGTGCGAGTTATTGTAACTGACTGTAAAAAGTCAGCACAACAAAAATAAACTATATCTAAACTTGGTTTATATCTGATCCAGATAGACTGCAATTCATAACTTCTCACCTGGAGTTCAGTTCCCCTTATACTTGGCCGGCGGCCGCCTCGGGACTCTCCTCCTCCTGCCTCCCTTTCCCTCATCCACCTGCTGGCCTCCACCACTTGCTCATTTTACTGAATCTGTGGAAGCTCTGCCATAGCCACCACCAAGCAATTGAGTTATTTTTACACATCTGCCAGCATCTGGCCAATCCACCACCTTTCATTGTTTATACCGTTATGTAAACAAACCCAAAAACAAAAAATCACCATTGGCCCGGGCAAATGCCCAGTATGCACGATGGCCAGTCCAGCTATGCTGGTAACCTATAGTTACCTGCTAAATCACTAACTGCTAGCACTATCACAGCATGTATGTTAGCATCAGCATTTTAATGTTAGCACTGATTCAAAATCACCACACTTACTGCTGGTATACAGCCATAATGTTTCTGAAATATATTCAGTGCAACAGTTCTAACTCTGGAGACCGAAATGATGTTAGCTCGTTGGTTGGCTCTTTTTTTCATAACATGCTACTAGGTTAGTGGTGGTATTGCGATGATCTGGGGTCACTTTGCTGCTTCGAAACCTGGAAAACTTTCTGATAGAACTGATGGAACAATGAATTCTACTCTCCACAGAAAATCCTGGAAGAGAATGTTGGCTATCAGTTTATGCCCTGAAGCTAAAACACACTTGGGTTATGCAACAGGACCATGATCTGAAACACACCAGCAAGTCTACCTCTGAAGGGCTAAAAACAGAAAAAAATGAAGGCTATATCACAGCAATGTGAAAGACTCAGTGCTACTAATGGCAAATGGTTGATTTCATTTCTTGTGTGTGGCATACCAGTTATTCAGTTATTGAGTTTAGGGGGCAATTAGTCTTTCATACAGTGGGTTTGGGCAGCTTTTTCCCCTTTAATAAATAAAATCACAATTTGATAACTGCCTTTTGTATGTGCTTGGGTTATCTTTGTGTTATATTAAAATTTGTTTGATGATCTGAATCATTCAACGGTGACAGATATGCAACAAACTAATAAATCAGGAAGGGGGCAAACATTTTTCTAGGTGTACCCTTTGCCATTCTTCTATTGGTAGCCTACATTGTTAAATAATCAAAGATGTTTGGTTTTGGACACATCAATTGATATGTACTCAAATGCTGAAACGAGAAAACCTATACGTCATAATATTCTGGATAGCTGATGAAACTGATATCCCACTTTAACACATCTTGCCTTGGCCTGACAGGATATACTAAGAAATTGTAAGAAAAATTAGATTTTATCTCTCTAACAGACAACTTCTGAAAAGTTGCTGACCAGTGCAAACATTTGGGTCACAGTAAAAAACGCCTGGCTTCTCTAAAAGCTGATTAATGGGCATGTTTTAACAAGCCTATGAGGTAATTTAAAAATACCTAGCAGCTCTTCTAATGAGTCCTTAAAGACTCCTCTAGCCTGATAGAAGATTTTTAATCTGTTTCAAATCATTGTTCATTTTCATGGAGAAAATCACCTCTTCATGGAGCCAACATCATTTCATGGCATACCTTCAGAGCATCAGTAAGGTTTTTCAAATGATCTAATTTAATTTCTTCAAATTAATGCAAGATCATTAAATTTTAGAAAACCTGTGGGTAGCTCCGTGACCTGTCTGTATTTGTAAACAGACTACAGGTTTCTGGCACAGCTCCACCTGCTTCTAAGGTGCGTGCAGAAGTGCAGAAATCTGAAGAGGTTAAAGCTCTAAAGAAAACTTGTTGTATGTAGGAGAATTTTATTGACTCATGGCTTTCTTCAGAGTCATCTAATCTGACCATATAGAGTCACCAGTATAGTTTCACAGCCTCCCTAGTATGGACGTAGAAACTTGATCTTGTTTTACTTTTAATCAATCACTTTAAGCCTTATAAATCACTGCAGTGTGATGACTTGGCATTTTGCAATGTCATCCTGTTTCCTATTATCTGTTCAGTTCTGTGTCAACCACATTTCTAGTAATTTCCTTGTGTCTTTGTCAAAAACAAAAGGATGATCCCATCATTTAATGTCCTGTCGCCTAATGTTAAGACAAAAACAGTCTGAGACCACACACCCCTTACAGAACAATCAGAAAAAAAACTGTTCAATTAAGCCACTTTTTGATTAAAGCGAGAAAGACATCTGACTGTGTGCTGAATTTATAGGGTATGGTGTTAATGGAGGGCTTAAGTTATACTTTGAACCAGAGACCAGATTTACAGGGCCATGGTGACAGCTGCCTGGTCCCCTGGGGTTACGGGGGATATGATGTCTATATATCAAAGTTTAAAGAGTGCAGTTTTGGCTGTTGTGTTAGACTTGATCTATTATTTACTTTGTTATGCAGTTGATCTGTGACCTCAATGATAATGATAATATTTTTCTTTTGTAGCATTGTCTGAGTCCTTGCTATTTAGGTCAGCAAAGTTAGCATTTAAAAAAAATCTTTATTAAGTTTTAGTCAAACAGTATAAATATAAAGACTTGCGTAAACTGCACTGTTCAAATGTCACAATGCCCACAATCAGTGCCAGATGTGTTGAAAGCACATTTCTGGAGCAGAAGATTGTGATATGATTAAGAGCAGTAAACTATTGTTCTTCGAATCTGCGTGAATGCTACAGAGGGGGAGATCTGCAGAGCGTGAGCCAAGGAGTCAGAAGAGTGAGCGGTTGGATTGTTTCTCCTCAATTTGGCCCTATTTCAATGCAGAGAAAGTGGATATTTTCAGATCTGTTGTGCTTGGAGACCAGCTTTTGTTTTGACAACCAGACAGAGTGGTATTCATGAGATCCGTCCAAGCTTTCACCTGAACTGTGCTTTTCTTCTCTTCCTAAATTAGATGCATATACGTGTCGGTGCACGTGAATGTCTTTCTTGGCAGCATGAGTCTGGTTCTGCTGAGTGTGTCCAAATAGCGAGTTGTCAGTGACTTTTTGGGGTGCGGTTGAGGATGATGAAGAAGACAAACAATGGCAGTGACATCAAAACAAATGATTGTCTCCAGCTACTGTTCCTGTCTGTTTTTGATTTCAGCATTCTGAAAACTTTTCTTGTCATCTGAATTCCTAGCTTTGAAATCTGAAGGGGATGATTATTACATCAATGGAGCGTGGACCATTGACTGGCCCAGGAAGTTTGAGATTGCAGGGACAGCCTTCCACTACAAGAGACCCTCTGATGAACCAGAGTCTTTAGAAGCGTTGGGTGCTACCACTGAAAATCTGGTTGTCATGGTAATATAACATTTCATTTGTTCCAAATCTAGTTCTTACATCATCTATATGACCATCATTTTATTTTGAAAGTCTGTTACAATAGATGCTTCGACAAAAACACTTTTTGAACACCAAACATTACAATGACCTGTTTTTTCACCATGAGCCTCATAGAACTTCAAAAAAAAAAAAAAAAAGAGTTCGTTCTCTCAAGTCCGCTTTAAGGCTCTTTTCTGAGCTATACAGTAATCTCCTACACCCTTCCAGAGAATATCAGCAAGTCCACATGAAAACAGGGAAGTCATCAGTGATAATGGTCATGCGCCTGATTAAGGCAGAGATGACATAAATGACATGAAATGGAGGTACTGAGGTGGAGGTGTGGCTTGTAGAGGCAACAACAACAACTATATGTTTGCTGAACCAACTTAAATAGGACATTTCAGATCAGATTGGCCAGGAGGATGTGCAGAAGGTGGCGAGCTGTTGTTCTGGGATTCCTGTCTGAGCTTCACCCTGTGGCTGACTTAGACTAATACGATGCCTGATCTGTTGATACTTGGTTATTTAAAAAAGAATATGCAGATGAATAGAAACGTGACTTGAGTTTAATGCTTACACTGCTCATCATCTGTTGTTGTCTATATGAATTGATGTTTGCTAGCACATGATACCAGTGAGTAACACTTATAGCTGGTTCCACAAATTATTTTATTTATTTTTTTGGCTGATGCCCCTTCAGGTCCTCCTTCAAGAGCAGAACCTTGGAATACACTACAAGTTCAACGTCCCCATCCAGCGCACAGGGAGTGGTGATAATGAGGTGGGCTTCTCCTGGCACCACCTGCCCTGGTCTGAATGCTCAGCTACCTGTGCCGGAGGCAAGTCCACCCTGTAATCTTTGATGACAGACTTTTTGTCTGTGCTGGTACCATTGCAACTCCCCTGTGCTTTTTATGTCCTCTGCTTGGCCTCTGTCAAATGTAAAACTATTGTCAAAGAGCTCCGGGGTGCTCCGTTTAACCTATTAAATGCTTATTTACTTGTGTTTTTCTTTAGCATAAGTACATTTTATTATATTAAATTAGACCATAGCTCATCTCTTTTAATGCTCACAGCATGGTGGAAAATAGTTACATTTTTGCATCTGTAATGGTTCCAAATGCATCTTTTAATTTATTATATTTTGTAAAATGCTATTAAGCATACATTGGCACAAAGCATGTAAAGTAATATAAGAGACTGTGTTATTAAATTCTGGAGAAAAGATTAATGTCTGACATTCTACTGAGCTATGATGGTCAGTTGCCTTTTTAGCACTCCAAGCATTTTGGTGTTAAATACCATAACATGCTGTGGGTGTTTACATTCTCTTTAAATATCTCTAACCATTTTCAAATGTTTAAAACTTTATATCTTGTGTGTTATTCTGTAAATCTTCCCCAACCAATATTTCCACAAATGCTGAAGAACGCTGTGCAGAAACCCAGTATCATAATTTGAGAATGGTTTGCCAGAATCATTACCCTGGAGATTCAGCTCTCTAATAAATTCAGTATGTATATTTTAAATGATATAGCCAAAGTAATGAATATAGCGCAAATTATGTGAATGAGCTGCTCTGCATAGCTTCTGGTTTACCAGTGATGGGGTAGAGATGCAGCTGCTCTTCCCAGTCGCCTGTCCTACAAACATTCAGAATCAGAAACCACAGTGAAATGTTGACTATGGCCTTAAGAATGACTAAACCAAACCTTTTAGTCCAAAAGCCATGGGTTTCATATAACAATAAATAGTGTTTCTTCCCAGTTGTCAAGCGTGGCCTGGAAGGGTTTGTAATATTTTGTAAAAGCATGACTGAATAAGCATGTGGGTTCTTCTGAGGAAGGATTTCCAAGTCCAGACCAGAAAACTATTCCTTAGATGGGGAAGTACCCATGGCTTTCCAGCATCATAAACATGCCTTTGCATTGTTGATCCAAATGATCTAATTTGTGTCTACTGTGTGTGTCTGACCGTGCAGAGCTTTAAATCATTAAAATGTTATTTAATCATACACCTATTCAATAGTGCTAGCTCAGCTAATCATAAAGTATTGTTCAATATATCACCACAGTGAAAAAAAATCAGTGAAAACCACCTTTTGACAGCCTTTCAAGTGAAACTTTTCTACTATTCCTCTAAACTGTATTTCACTTCAAGCACAAATGTGTGGATTTTCTATACCACACACACACACACACACACACACACACACACACACACACACACACACACACACACACACACACA